ATGTGTGTCACAGCACAGCTATAAAGCACTTTCAGGGGGCCAATCATATGAAAAATGGAACTTCTGTCTGTGCCCCCAGTCTAAGAGTGGTCAAACTATCTGGTTCCATCATGAGTTAGATTCAGCAAACCAGGCCTGTTACCTAAGAAATGCACTCACAAGGGACTGAAAGGGTCGCAAAGAGCTGCTCTTCTTGAAACTATGATGCATACATAAAATTCCACTGGAAAATTCATCAGAGCATGAACTTTGATTTCAGTGGGAATCTAAATTGGAAATTTTTCCAAATTCTTCTCCAACTTTTCCCCTTGAGTGTTATAAAGAAATGTGAATGTTTCTCATCTGAAACACAACTGGCTTACAGCTTTTCCTCAGCAGGATCATAGACATATGGTACTGAGCTCCTGCCATGCTGAGAGAAACTTATGCTAGTGGAAATATTAGGAAAAAAATGTAATTTATTAGGAACAGCACCTCTTTTTCATGCTGGCTTAAAATTACAGGAACTTTCCATTGTGTGTCTTTAAATATATTTTGAAAGACCTTTTTTTCTTTGCATCTGCATATGAACTACATAGAAAGCTGCACAGTTTGCATGATTCTGTTCCCACGCCAACTCTGCACAGGTGTGTTGTGCTAAAATACCTCTTTCACTAATTAACCTACACTCAGCACAAGATCCAGATCTACAAATACATTTATTTTAAACTCCACTCTTTCTGTTCTTACAATTGACTGTTGACTTGAACAGCTCTTCCCAGTAAACACCACTGTAACAGAGTAGAATAAGATTCTAGATTATCAATGAGAATAGCACTAGAATAAAAGGACACCATTTTCAGTATAATGCTGAGGAGTGAACCAGGACATCACAGCAATGGGGGAAGTTATTAGAAAGGCTAATCAGGGACAGAAGGGTGGGGCACCTGAAAAGTTCGTTATTATTTATGGCTTGAAGTTATTATTTTAATTTTTAGCACGTGTGGAGATGAGCTCCAAAGTGATGTACATGAAATAAAATAACAGAATGATTACATAGTCCATTTCAACTTGTTAATATAGGTGGCAGGCATCTAAGCCTTTTATTTGGAAGGAGGATGGTGAGGCTTGCCTATTTTATGCGCAAAATAATTTTGCATCTTTGGTACAAAAGCATGTAAAACAGTATCAGTATACATCACATAATTCCAGGCCTTGAGTCTCATTATAGTATCATGAGTATCATTTGAAAACATTGCCAAAGCTTTTAATATTATTCTTTATTAATACAAACAATTTTGGTTATTGTCATGCAACACGGAGCTGGCAAGCCAAGCTTGCGGTGTTGGTCACGGTGGTGCGGCCGGGTGGTGGCAAATTGGATATGGACAGGCGGGAGTTTTGGCGATGGAGTCTGAGCGGCACAGGAAGCGTAATGGTTCCTTAAACAAGATGGAATTTATTTAACTTACGCTTAGATGCGTAGGAAACGATGTCTTCAGTTACAGTGAACAAACAGGTGAACAAACAAAGGGGTCTGTTGGCCCACAGGGTTCTCCAACAAGCCCTTGCTTTCTACCTCTGACGAGGTAGGTGC